TATTTTCTTCCACTGCTAATTTGAAAACAATCAAGATATCTCATTGCCACCATTTCTTTAGAAGGGGCCACCTCCTTCCACTGAACTCTATTCAAATGTTTGTAAGATTATAATGAACAGTCACTAAATTAATAAAAGGGGCTTAAAAAAAATGGGAGATTGGCTTCTAAAAGGGGGAAGAAGAAAATGAACACTCTATGTTTTTTTTAAATCTAAAGTGCTCAGTGCAGCTTTGTTTCTCTGTTAATCACAGGGTCAGGCTGCTTTGTCTCTGTATGTCTCTACTATCTGGTGCAATTCCACAAAGGGAGCACCAGCTCCCAGTCCTCAAGGACGCTGGTTCTGCCAGCAGCTAGTCAGACCAGCCTCAACCTGGCCCGCTGTGCCATACTGAGAAGACATTCACCCTTTAGGTACTGCCTAAAACTGCACAAACTAATTTGGAGCCAAGGTGGGGGTGCGGAGGAGTAGGGAGAACTGAGACAAAGCACAGATAGTAACATCTGTCAGGAAAAAACACCAAAACACTGTTTCTTTGTTTCTTGTCTTCAGCTGTATAAATTTCTGGTGACTTGATGGGAGGGTGTTAAAATAAACAAAATAAAAGAGATAATGCATAAAAGACCTGTAATCATTTGTCACAAGCATCAGTGAGAGGGCTGTGACAGCAAAGTATTTGTCATACCGGCTATTCAATTAGTTATGCATCCTCAGACAAATTATATAAAGACACATACAAGTGACACTTTAAAATCCAAAGCTTTCACTTTTTGTGGTGTAGGAGGGAATAAACTCTCCGTGAGTTTTGTTACCTGAAGGATTAAGTGACTTGAGATACAAGCTGTATAGTCAGAGGTAATTTAGCCATGGTCAAATAGAGTTTACAGGGTGGAGGTTTTCTGCACTGTTTGATGCCCAGTTCCCTGGACACCAACAGGAAACAACAGGTTCCTTGAGCACTGTGAAACCTAGATCTTGGATAAAGTACAGCTGAACATTCTGGATATACTGATAACGAAAAGGACACACCTCGGAAAGATTCAGGAAACCAAATGTAGGAGCCTCAATTCTCTGCCTATACCATAGGTACCTTCAAAGCAGTCTTCAGACTATAAATGCTGGATGGCTGTTACTATCCTGAAGCACAGGAAATCCTCTGCAACACTGTGCTTCTCATTTTACTCTGTTCAACTCACTCAGCCTGGCTGTGTCCTGCTTGCAGGCAGGAGTGTTAATATCTTGTGACAGAGATTTTTCCCAGCCTTTACTGATACATACAATCTTCTTGAGAAGGACAAACCTGCACCATGATAGGACTGTGATCTTGAAAAGTAAATTCATTTCATCCTGAGATCTGACCTGAATAAACCTCATGTGCATTCATTGGTGCTTACAGGATAGCAGTCTGGATGAAGCAGAGTAGAAGGGCAGAAAATAGTAATAAGTTTCACCATGGACATAAGAAGATAACTTCCACCCCCAATTAATTTTCATGATTTTATTTTTTTTGTGATAAAGAGTAAATGACATGTTTTGTCCCCATTTCTAGATAGCAAGCGATTTGCAAAACACATCTTCTAAGGCACATTCCTTGGTTATCCATGTAAAATATTTCAGCCTGACTTCTACATACTGACTGTGTCACAGTGTTTTTAACTGCTGATTAAAAAGGACCCTGACTGGTCCTACTTCCTCTACTGGGAAGAGAACGGACCAGCCACAAAACTACCCTGTGTTTCAAGAGCGGGCTCTGCTTTTTCTGTGCCTGGCTCTTTTTTCCCCACTTTAAGAGCTCTGTATTTTCCTCTGAAGCCTTGTTGCAGAGGGAACAGAAGAAGTGCAGAGAAAAAAGAGAAACAAAGTGCTTAGATTTCTTAATTTCTTTTTATTTACTTGCCTTGTGTAACTCCTGGACTTTTTCCCTCTAATCTCTTAGAAGTATGATGTTGCTATATGAATGGTTAAAAACAGATAAAATACCCACACCCAAACTCTCTTTCCAAAGTTTCAAAGTGAAAAGAAAGAATATGAATCACAAAGCAAGGGTTGGTTTGGTTTTTTTTTTTCATTAATCTGTGTTCCTTCATATTACTGCACCTTTAAAATAGCAAAACTGTGCAAGGTCCTTAAGACATGTCAGAGGTTGGAGTGAGCTAATCATCACAGTTTATGCATCCCCTCTCATATTGTCATAATTATCGCTTAGGAGGGATGTGGACATTTTTAGACTCTATCAGAAGAACAAGACTTTTCTTTTTTTTTCTCTCAGTAATTTTATTTTTCATGTCCTAATCTGAACGGGTTTGAAAGTAAACCAGCACTGGCTCATCAGCTTTCTATGGAGCCTTCACAGTTCACAGAAAAACTGTGATAGATAACAACACATTGCTGTGTATGAAAGCACACTGAGTGAAGTCATGCCTCCTGCAATCCTTCGCAGGAAGTCGCTGTTGCTAACCAAATATCATGTCATAAAATAAAGTTTCAATGCGTTAAAGAGACCAGCAACAGAAAGGAAAAGCTGTGAAATTGCAGGAGGTAGCTTTTGGAAGGTCAACAAAGCTCAAAATGGTGTCTAACACCTGGTCCATTTCACCAGGAAACAGAAATAAAGTGCAAGTGCTGACTATCTCAGAAAGCAGGAATTCATGAGGAAGCCCCTCTCCCAGTGAAAAGGCTTTTTTTCCCTACCTATGTATATATAATAATTAAAAAGCATATATACCATAACACAGTAGTCCGTTAATCTGGTCAGTCAAGCAATGAATATTCACAAGAATTCACAATACACTGCTGAACATCAGTGATGGTTATAACCTGTATTCTCCAACATCACAATTTAATTCGGAGGGTGTGTGGAACTATATTATCAAACCAGTATATTTTGAAATGAGTAGGTTTTTAATTTCAGCTAATAACTTCACAAATATCAGGCCTCCCAAAAGAGAAACAGAAATCTTGACCAAAAGGAACCGATGGCAAGAGTCCCAATCGCTTCAAAACAGATCTGTTCACAGAGAACATTGGAGACATGATTTATGAAAACAATTTAAGCAAGGAGGGTATTAACAAAGTGCACAGACTAATTAGGAAGTACAAAGGAAAGGAAAAAGGAGAACAGGATGTTCAGATATAACAAAGAATGCTTTGTTACAGCACTTCAAGGATGTGCAGGCGCCTAGCACAGGAGACAATACACGATTTCAGCCCTTGCACTGAAGAAAGAAGTATCTGCACCTTCACAGTGACTTCTGAATCAACTCCCTTACTCATCATAAGCCTGACTGAATCTCAGTGCGAGGCAGCAAAGCTACCATAGCTGCTTAGGAGGGACACATAGAAGGACAATGAAGTCTTCCAGGTACTAGATGGGAATGCTTGTTTTCCTGATGCTTTGTGGCCCAGAGAAGGGTGGTACCTGAGCAGACCTTGAGCATTAGGATGGATCCTCTAGCTGTTCCAATTCTGGCAAACCTTCCTTGTTCTGGAACTAGGGATTAAAAACTGGACTCAAATCTAGCACTTCCCAGTGGTCACTGTAAACAGGTAAGTAGCATGTGCAGCTGCTCTCCATATCAGTCACAGTTTCAAGACTTTGGTGTCCCATGGCTAGTCACCAATGACTGGTCTGGAAGTGAAGGTTTGGAACCAGTGGTTTAGTTCACAGGTGTCAAACCAAGACCCTGAGACCCTCAAAAATACCTTGAAAGAATTCAATTACTTTGCAGAAAGCCTCCCAGGATGCAGCCTCTGTAGGCACACAATCCATTCGTTTCAGGACATCTCTATTTCCCTGACACAGTCAGGCACTTGGAAAGAGGCTGCAAAATTAGTTACACTGCCAGAACTGAATTATCCATAGTGCTTCTTCAGGTATCTGTGAGTGGTTTATAATTACTCTTCCCTCATGCCAACCTAATAAAAACTTCGGTGGCTGTTCCACTCAACTCAGCTACTCTCACAGAGGCAAAGCTCAGGACCAACCACGGAAGAGGGAACACAGAGAAAAGTCAGCCTGGGGCTACTTTACGCTGCAGCTATTTTACACAAGAGGGAAGCAGGGGAGAAACAATACAATACATAGGCTAGAAAGTGGCAGAACACACTCTGATGCTAGTGTGTTTGGTGGCCCTCTCAGATGCACTGGTAAATACACATATATGCGCTCAGTTTGTCAGGCCTGCGGTGCATCTTTGTAACTAAGGAAAAGAAAGCCCTTTCTCCCCCAAACTGAATCCAGCTATAAAATAACAATATATTAGAAAGAGAGTGAAAACTTGCATCTGGGCTTCCCAAACCACCTCTTAAGAACTTATTTGGAAAGTGTTCAATATTATGACTGTGAAGTTCCCCAGTCTATTTGTTTTTCTTAAATGTACATTAGTTTGTGTTTATGAGACTTGTCTGGCTACTGGAGGTTCAGGTGTACCTATCTTACAACAGCACCAAACAGACAGCAGAAACATTCTGTTCACAAGTCTTTACTGTTTTATTCTGTTGTAGAGGTGTTGTCATGAACCTTTATATGTAATAATCTGGAGCTCTAACAAGCAAGAATTAAAAGCATTATTAGTAGAGACATAAAATACCAACCTCTCTTTCCCAGCTGCATTCATATGACCAAAATATTCTGTTCTAATAAACAAGTTAGTGGTGTGTAAATTGTTTTACAAGGCACTGAGGTGAAAAAAATGTAATTTAGTTGGGCTCACACAGCTAAACAACAGCTATGTTATAGCAACATTATAATCTCCCCAAAGCATTATGGGATAACATGGAATCATTCTTCTGCAAGAGAAGGATAAATAACACTTTCACTAAAATTTCTTCTCCTGTATTGGGCAGGTCAAACCAGTTAATAGTGTTAATGATCCAGACTCAGGAAAAGGAGACAGTTTAAGAACACCCAAAGAACAGGTGTCCCACTCAGAGTCTTCTATTTTTGTTTGGGTTTTTTTTTCACGTAAGTTTCTTTTTCACTGCTTGACTCCCCCTATGTTTCAAGGAAGCCTTATCATTTGCAAACTCAAAGTCAGTAGCGTAAGGAAGAGAGAACAGGAGAGCTGGTGAGTGCTGCCAGTGTCCGCACGAGCATGACTGGACCGACCATGGCCCCGGGGCTGGGGTTCAACTGTGATGTAGCCATTAATGATGCGGATCCGGGGAGGAGGGTCAGCGGCACTGCAAGGCAAGACAAGAATGTCAGTCCAAACCCAGCCCACAACTGCCCAGTGCCAGCAGAGCAGGAGGTGCTCAGCCTCTGTGCCCCACTGTCAGTTTTCTGGGCTCCTAGGAATGGTCTCTCATCCTAGGACTATGCCTCCTAATGGCAGAGTGCTGCCTCATCCCTTCCTTACACATGTGGGCAGCTCCCACTTCAGCCCACGTGGATTAGGGTGCCCAGCTGAACTGTGAAGCAGTCTTGAGGGGGAACAGGGGAAGAGATTTAGGAGGCTGCACTCAGGTTCACCCAGCCAGCCTCCCCACTGCTCCCACATAGGCGGTCAGGTGGGTAAGATGACTGTATTCCTAGTGCCTTACAGCTAAGCAGAAAATAAGTAAGAACAAAAAAACCTTTGTTGAAAAGGAGTGTTGCTGCAGTGATGCTTGCTTAGCACAGCAGCAGTGATGCATCTGCTTTCAGCTGAATCAATGCATCTTCTCCAGCCATGCTTCAGTATGTGCATCTTAGCATGAACCTGACTAGTTCCTATACTGCATGTTCCCTTCCACAGGTCAAGAATTACAAGGGGGTTGCGTGACATGCTTTAAGGATAGAAACAGCTGTTTCCAGAAATGCATTCTAGAATCACTGGAAAAAGATCACATCCGAGTATCTCCCAGTGCTGAGAACTCTGAGGTGGTGATGAACAAGAACTGACTCAGACCCTAGATGATGCTGAACTCCCATTATGGCAACACATGATGGAGGAGAGAAATTTGTGTGCTCCAGGCTGCTAACACCAACTTTCTTGAACTGGGGAAGCTCCCACACCATCTCAGGTCAAGAGTCAAAAGGTCAGATACCACAAAGGTGTTGCTGTCTTTGGCAAAGCATTGAAAGCCATGCTTGACCCCACAGCTATAAAGCTGACATATACTCCAGCATTCATGGTGCTGTGTGAGCCAGAAGACAAATTTGACCAAAATTAAAAGCAAATCTACCTGCCAAATACAAAAGCAGAATAATTTCTCCTCCACCCACTCTCTATGCTTGCTTTATTTTGATTATTTGCGTTAAGCAAAAATGCTTTGGGCCATTGAAGGCAATTAGTATCTTTTATAAAAACACCCTTCCATATCCAAAGGCACCACAGAAGGTTTGAACAATAACTGAAAAGAAGCCAGCTGGCAGCACATCAAAGAAATACAGCTGACAGCTGATACATACAGGATGCATGCAACCAAAGCAATGCTGCCAAGCCCACTGCAAGACTGTATGAAATCATTTGCGCTGTGCTTTTCACATTGCCGGGCTCACAGAATGGTCCACGCATAAGAAACCTGGTAGGTTTACCTGTGCCTGGGCAGCCGGGGGGATGCGCAGCGCGGGGGCTGAGACTGCCGGTGAGACGAGCCCTGCACAACGTGTGAGCTTACGCCGTGTTTCCGTGGGGACACGTCGCGGCTCTGCCACGAGGTGGGGCTGTCAGCTCGGCCCGCGGCTGAGCAGGCAGCCCGCAGCGGCGTGTCAGGGAGCGGAGGGTCGTGATCCACCCCCTTTACAGACATGGGTGGGGGGTGCGTGGATGGCAGCCACTTCTCACGAAAGAAGAAGAGTAAAGGAAGCATTTGGTGCTCCCATATTTATGCAGTAATTTCCCAAGATGTCATCATTAGCTTTGCTTTTACCTTACTATTGCCTTGCAGTAGCTGCCATCCAGTATGTAGCCCTAATGTACCTCCTGCTTTGCCACAGTAGCACATCCTCCCAACTTAGCTTTTCTTCTGAAGGCACTGGTGCTGCAAGTGCATGCATATCTCACATCAGGATGCTCACTGACTTCCCTGAGCTTCATGAGAGCAGCTGTGTGTGAAAAACTACATGTGCCAGAGTGCAGGCAGGATGAGAGCTTGGGATCATAAAGACTCCAGATCATCCCTTAGCATTTCAACTTGACAGACTGTTAACTGACACCCCAAAAAAAGGTTCACAAACACCTTTTGTGAACTGTAAAGTAAATGATACACTAAAAGACAAAACCAAATCTGATCAATATTTGCATTTGTTGTACTGGTGAAACTTGAACTGCGTGTAGGTCCGCCTGTGGGCATGCAAACCACCATATGCATTTTTTTCCCTTTCTCTCCAAACTACTCACACTCAGGTTGGAAGGAGGAGCAGAGACAGGGCACAAAACTACTCTATTAAAGAAGAAGGTGAGTTTGGTCTAAAAAGTCTGACAATGGCTGAATGCGTGGAACAGAACAACAGCTGCTGCACCTGCTTGGAGCCAGCCTGGGCAATGTATTACTCAAACCAGTAGTACAGCTGGGACCCAGCGACATCACAAGAGCGGCACAGGAGAACTCAGATATGCTTAGTATCTTGGGTAGCAGGAAGAAATATTCTTCAGAGGGAAAAAAAAAAAAAAGAATGTAGAGGCTTAATTTCAAAAACTGCAGGCTCTTCTTCACCATCCCAACCAGTCTGGTCGTTCAAAGTACCACAAAAATAAAATGCTTTCAGCCTGAGTATGACAGAGACACAAACAGAGGGACACAGTACAGGAGAGAGCAGACTCAGGCCTGTGTGTTATCTGACAGGAAGTCATCATTAAGGTACACCTTCGGCCACAGGCCTATAGCTATTATAGCTACTAAGGAACAAGGTGGCTTTTTTTGCAGGCTGCTGTAGTTCTTGCAGGTGAGTAAACTCTTCTGGATTATAACAAGGGGATTTGTGTGAACCTTTGCCTCACAATACATGCCATTTTTATACTAACTCCATCATCCATTAGGTTGTCACCCCCCTTTCCAGATCTTTTGAAATGCCATGGGGCTCACATAATTTTTAAGACTGGAAGAACAGAGAGACTGGAAATACTGCATAAATACTGTCAAATGCAATGAGCACATATGCCAGATACGACATTTTCTACACAAGCAGCAGCTCTTGGATAAAGGTCCAAGGCTTTGGTATGTACCATCTACCACTGAACACAGTCTTCTGTGATAAAGAGGACCACCATATGCTCACAACCCCTCAAGACCAAATGCAAAATGGTGTAGACAAGGCTTCCACTTGCCTTATGCTTAATTTTCCAGAAACCTAACCTAATGCAGAAGAAACTATTTTGTTACTAAAAGCACAAACAGCCTTGAGTAAATATTTCAGCAAGAACCACAGTGAGGCAGAATGTCAGATCCTGTCCACAGCATATAGCTAGCACTTCATAAGCTTGACATAGTGGATTAAGCAGTCTAAGTTAAAGTCCAGTTTGCATGGCAAACCCTCTTCCCTCCCCAGCCATCAGCTACCTTTCCTCAAGGCGAACCCAGAGGTCGTTAAACTGTCTCAGTCTTTGCTTCTTCTGCTGCTTCTTCTTCTTCTTTTTGTACTTTCTGTCTACCTTCTCCAGCACATCAATATTGTCAGGGAGCAGCAGGTGAGGCAGAAGCTCTTCTTCCTCCTCCTCCTCCTGGGGATGCAGTGGCAGTGGGAGCTCCTGGGACACAACGTAGGGACCATGTGCCAGCGATGATGATGAAAAGGCTAACAAGGTTTTGGTGGGTTTTCTGCTGGAAGAAGGAGGGAACACAGACAGTATTTGAAAGGGCTTTTGAGGCAGAATCCTGGTACAGATACCATCAAGGCACATATAAAGCAAGTGTTTCTCCCTGACATTGGCTGGATGTTTATTTCTCTGCCTTGTATTCCTGCCCACTCTTCTTTGAGTCAATTTTCTAATCAAAATAGTTCTCTTTAATGAAAAAAGCTTTGGAAAAGAAGTAATTTGGAACTCAAGAAAGAATGCAATCTGGCCCAGGCTGGAATAACTCTTGAGAATAACCTTGCATATCTAGAAAGAGCCAAAAAAGCAGTCGCCCTTAAAGTCAGAGAAGGTCAAACTACACTCCTCTAGTCTGATGTACTGCAGAATACAGACCAGATTATTCCTTTCAGAGACCAGAGCCAACTAACTTGGGAGGCAGGGAAAAGGTTCAGGGACAGGACAACTAAGGCACACACGCTGAAGGAGCCAGTCCTAGATCAACAGCTCTCACTAGTGGAAAACATAAGTAATGAGCTAGTCCACAGACTAGCTGATGACTGCAAAAATGCATCTTCTAGTTGTGGTCTTTGAAGGGAATGCCTTCATTAAGCAACCCTTTGGACCACCTAGTCTGCAGCAGATTAGCCGTGGCAGTGCCAAGTTCACCACTGTCTCATCTTTTCTTTTATGAAGCCAGATGGTACAGAGCAGGAAATGCATAGCCTTTATAAAACACTGAGTGAGGAGACATGTCTGATACATAAAAGACCAGAGGTCAACTCACTATTGTGGCATCGACTTCTAGTCTAAGTGTTTACTGTCTCCATGCTGATCTGCAAAAGGAGATAACGCTGTTCTGCCACTCAGATAAGCACATCAAGAAGCATGAAATGGTGGTTTCAAAGGAGTGTATCAGACAAGTATGGAGGTCCACATGGAGGGGAGGAGGCTGAGCGATTGCAGCTCTCTCTGTGCTCACAGTACAGAAGTGAGCTTTGCACACATAGCAAGTCATAAGGAGTAGAAGTCAGGCCTTTGGGTTTCTAGCTGCACAGATCCTGTATTAGACTGGCAGCATTATTCAGATTTCAAAGCAGCTCCAGCAAGACTGTTGTAAGCCTATGTGCATGCACAAACTCTCTCACAAGGCAATTCTTGAAAGCCCAAAGGACCACTGTCGAGCCCCAGAAAAAGCTCTAGGGGGTATTCTTACCCAGCTTTGTTCAAAGGTGATATATTGAAAAAACAATCAATCTGCTCCACCCTGATTACTCAAACTCTGTTCCATTATACTTGGAGCAAGCAACAGCTCCTCATCTATATTCCAGGCAGGCAGGCTGCAGTCTCCTATCCACTCATGGCTTTGCTGGCCTACACTTCTCCTCATTGCTTGGAACAAAGTGATTCTCCCTCTTTACTTGTTCATGAGCACCTTGGACAAATTTAATCCACTCTGTGGATACAGAGAGCACAGTACAAATATCTGACTGATCTTTATGTCTACTTCCTGAAGAGAAGAGATGCAGGAGCCTTCTGTAACAAGACAAAATTGGAGACTGGCTTGGACTGAAATTCAGAAAGGTAACAGGACCACAGAAAACTGCAGAAACCTCATTTCTATCAGTGAAATCTTCCATAAACCACAGCGTATTTCCTTCCTCCCTTGCAATGGCATGGAAAGAAGGAGGTCCAGAAAGAGACATGGTTCAGTGAGGCTGCAGTTTTCAAGCTAGCCCATCACTGTGGGCATACCTCTTTGATGGAGAATAAAGAGGGTCCGTCCTGAAGAAGAAGAAATGAATGTAGATTGGAATATGAGGGAGAGAGCAGATGGAAAATGAAGAGAATTTTATCTTATTTCCTGCAAGGAAAATCACAGGCTGATCATACGGTACACTTTATGTGAAAGAGACTGGCACAGAATGGGTCTTGGGCTATTGATCTCTTTCAAAATCTTTGTGGTTCTCACTCTCACTACTGTCTCTGAACCCTTCGGTTCTCCTGCACAACATCTTCACATCACCCACTCTTTAACTGCCTTACAGAGTGACCTGATCTGTTTTTTCTGAAGGTCCTCTGCTGATGTTTCCCTTTTCCCCAATGTCTCTTCACTGTGCCTGTTCCTTAATTGTGACAGTCACAGAATGGGCACCAGCCCCCCTCTGTAGATAAGACTGCCTTGCTGCCTGCAGCCTCCCCTACCAAACCCATGGCCATATTATGCCTAACCTCAACACTGCCAAAGGCGCAGCCAAGATTATCTCCAAGCTGCATGGCCAGTCCTTTATTCTGACTCCTACATCTTCAGAACACTATTAGTAACAGACACATGTACGAATAACCTCTTTTGAAACATTTCCTGCGGGCAATTTTTCCAGGGACTGTCAGGGAAAGAAGCACAGATGTAAAAGCACGTCCTTTGTCCCCAAGGCCAATTCCCTCTTCCAGCACAGCAGCTAAGGGAGGAGTCAGGAAGCACCTTAATTACAATCGTGATTATGTGATGAATATTTTACAATATATATATGCATTCTAAAATCAGGAACAACAGTTAGAGCCCAAAATAAGACAGTAGGAGCTTGATTGAACTTGTGGCACTATTTATAAACTGTCCTTTGCACTACTGCATGGTTGGAGCACCTCTTTTGCCTTCCTTGCTTTGGTGACACCACAAAGAAGAAGCCCACAAACTCCACACGCCACTACTAGCATGCATCCCCTTCCCCTGCAGATGGGCAGGACACCTCAGGCAGCCTGCAGGTGAAATTGTGTGACTGCACCCAGCAGTTTTCCCGTTACAGAAAAATATGCATAATGATCCCTCATCTTTTTGCATTCACAGATGCGCAAGATACCTCACAAGGATCTTTGGGTTTAGCCAGAGCACATGAAGCAGCTGACTGTGCTGCTATTGCACAGTGTCATGTTTCAGGAAAGGGAAACAACTGCAGAATTCCTCATCCTCTTGTTTTAGGACTGCTCAGCTAAGATCCCCTACTGTATCTGACAGTAGAACAGCCACTTGAATGCTCTCAGTTCAACCACTTCCAGTACTTTCCTCTCTGAATTTTGTCCTGTGAAATAGTCGATAGATACTGACTGGACTGAGTGCAGCACTGCTATCTAGGACAGTAGCTGGATATCGTTTTATTGACACTGACTGGCCTGGTATTTGTTCCTAGAACAAGCCCAGGATAGAAATCAAGTGAAACCCATCATCCAACCCCCAAGACTCTAACATACTCTTCCTCTACAGGTTTTCCCTCACTCCGAATGCTCTTCTCCTTTAGAACTCAATTTTTTCTTGAAAGTTGTTTCATATTTTTAAATCTCTTTTTAAGTCATCCAGAAATGGAAACACCTTTTCTCAAAGAAAACACTAAAGTGCCACCTTCTATAGCTTTTTCACTCAGCTTTAAAAGACTCCAGGAAAGATGTTCTGTCCAGTAGCCCTAATGAAATGTTTGAGATGTAACCAGTGTCAAACTGAGAGTTTTCAAGGCAAAAGAGTCACTGGCTGAACACTGAACACCCATGATGTGGTCAGAAAACTGGGTGCTAGACTACCCTGAGTATCATTGACACCTATCTCTCCGATGGGTGAGATCTAGCTCTCTTTTCCACAGTTGTCTGCCCCCGATTTCCTTACAGTTATACCTTTACAGAGCAGTGTTGGGTTTTCTTTATTCTCAAGTACATCTTAAGCTATCTTTCTTTAAGCTTTAAGAAGCTGCTATGGCTGTTTTTAGGAATGTTCTGGGGCATAAAAAACACCACCACAAAAATTTTAGTGCAGGCAGCTTTTTGATTATCATATAAACACTATTACACTGGATTGTCTAATGTGACTTAAGTGTTAAGGATCATTAAGTCTTGCACTTAAACACAGGGAGTTTCTCCATGCCAAACTATCTGCCCATTGGTGGCAACAGAGTTGGGGGCTGCATTCCTGTACTCCTGAGGATGAGTCTTGGCTCAGTTTGTTTCAGTGCACATAAAGTTAATGATACATGTCCATGTCAAGAATCCTCGGAAAACATGAGCTGCCACAGTTTGAATCTCATGGCCTGAAAAAAGCAGCAAACGTGTTGAAAAGACAAAGGTGAGTATGACTCAATCAGAGTATAAGAAAAACATCTGTTATTACTTTGTACCACAAAATAAGAACTCTGCACAAGGGGTGATCATCCTACCTGAAAGGCCCATCTCAGAAATGTGGGGGAGAAGGGAGGGAGATGTAAGCAGTGAGGGACCTGCCTGATGCCTGGAAAAGAGGATAAAAGGGAAAAAGTACCATATCTGGGATAAAACCTTTTTTTCATTGTGGTCTTTTAGCAGTGAATATAAGAAAGAGTGGGGATATCCAAGAGACACAAGAGCATGTGTTTCCAAGAGTCTGGAGAAGGGGGAGACAAGGACTGCAGACCCTAGGATGGCGGCAAAAAGTCCAGGAAGCGGTAAATCAAGAGCACATGTAATTCTCAGCAGAGCATGGAGGAGATTATTTGGCATTCTGTACTTACTGAAACCATGTAGATGAGTAAAGGCACCCAGTGAGAGAGAAAAAGTAAGGGTGTATCCCCAAAGGACAGCTTCAAGATGAACCACAGCAGCAAGTATCTTGGCTTAAAAATGCAGAAGAGAGCAGGGGACATGAGAGCAATCAGTCATGGGGACAGCTTGCAAAGAGGCTGGGTGGACTCTAGTCAGTCAGATTCCAGGCTCAGAGAAATTAGAAAGAATTAAAAATAGCAGTGTAAAAGAATGAAAGAGTTAAAAGGCAGGGCAGTCGGACAGTTAAAAAGAATGAAGGAGGAGGTTTGAACCCTATATGGTGTAAGTTAGCATCCACATATGCTAACTCTACAGTTGTTGTTTTAAGAGTTAAAAACTAACAGGGGAAAAATATTTTTATTTTATAAATAAACCCCAACATAACAAAACAAACAAAAAAAAACCCAACACAACCAACCAACCAAAAAAAAAATCTTACAAACAAAACACCAAAAAACCAAACCCAAAACAAATAAAATCCTATTTCCAAACTGCCTCGTGGAAGAGAAAAGTAAACTTCTGGGGAGGAGAGACAGAGCCCAGCTCACTGTTAGGGATAGTTCCAGCTGCCACTACCTCTTCACGATTGTTTACCCACTCTCCCAATGGCTGCTCGCTAGATAAAAGCATGCATTACTTGTTGATGGCTTGTCCAGCTGGAGTGTGTTCTACCTCGTACCCTTGTCTCCTCAAAACATCAATCACTGTGTTGTTGCCCATGAAGTGACCTGCAGTTAAGAGAAAAATTACATCAGAACTCAATGAGCACAGGGAAAGAGAGAGAAGAACAACAAAGTCCTTCCTCATCATAGGAGGCTTGCCACACTCAGGGCAGGTAGTGTTTTATTGCTCACCACCAACATGCACCAGAAACACAAGATCTCTAACAAATGACTGCTTAACTTGCCCAAGGTCACTTCAGTTACTACATTCTGCCTCTCTAAATGCAAATGTGACTAAAATTACTCTGGTCCCACAGGTTGCTGCATTATCTGGCTACTCTCGATTTCTTGGAGCAATAAGAAATTAAGTTGAGAGACATCTGTTCAGAAGCAGCACCAAGTCTACACAACTGATGGCAGTGCAAACCAGGTCAGAAGCTGACCACAGTGCGTGCATCATTTTAACATACTCTGGCATCATAAAGGCACTGTGGTGTCAGTCAACATCATTAACAATTTTAAAATTATTAAGAATCATCCAACTGCAGAGAATGGAAAAACAGCTCTGAAAGCCAATGACTTAGATCAACCCTTTTCATTCCTTTGTATAAGCCATCGGGGACAGAAACACCACTTCAATTCTATTGACAAAATTTTTGAGTGGACTTAACCTGGCTTACATCTGCCCCAATTCTGTGATTTATGTCTACTCCATTTTCAGAAAGATGTGGTGGCTGATCAGCCCATAATTCAGCAGCATAGTGAGTAAATGACTACTCAAAGGATGCAGGAGTTATTCCTGGACGACTGTATGCTCTGCGCACTGATCTGCATGCTCACTGACTTCCACCATCACTCTGACACCTTACTAAATAAGGCTGCTGAGAAGCAGATGGACAACAGAGGCCTTGTACAGTCCCTCATAGTTTAGCTTTCTCAAAAACGTTTGTTCATTAAACAGCCTACATTAATTAAAATTAGGCTTTGAGAAATAGTCTTATTAGAGAGCTCCCTTGCCTCTCTAGATGTAAGCAGTTCTAAAACTGATAAATAACTTCAGAAAAAAACCTGTTTTCTGCTAATATTCTTCATAAGTACATGGCAATAAAACCACCAGAATGATCCTACTAGCAAGGAGATAAAAAGGGAAGTCCAATGGTGATGACATTAACAGGGGACTATACCAAAATACCAAACAGATTTATGATTTTTCACCCCAAAATGGATTCAATGAATTGGAGCACAAAATTCCAGTTTCTTTTGCCATAACACCAAGGAGCTTAAGGCACGAAAATTGAATGGTATCATTTGAGCATAGACATTTATCAAGATGAAGGTTCCCTGAGAGCCTAAGAATGCAAACAATCCAGCTCAAATGAAACTTTTCATCCAAACACTGCAATGCATGCTCATGGGGTACCATATTTTCTCACCAAGTAGATGATTTTCCCGCAGCCTAACTTTTGCTTTCAGAAAGAGTAAAGCTAATGTGCCATTATGTGGTCCTAACTTAACACAGTTGGTATCTGTTTTTTCCAGTGGTTCAGGCCCAGGTGCAGTTAACTGAGAATTTCCTCATGTCAGCAAAAAGATCAGATGCATCAGGGAACAGGAACGACTGCAATTAAGTATTATAACTGAGTAAAATTAGCTACTGGAAGGCCTACAGAAAGTTTATAAGGTGCCAGACCCTATATACCTATCTCCCACCTCTTACAAAGCAGAAATGTATGTGCAATGGGAATGGGGATTCACTCTTCCTCCCCTGCTTCTAGACAGTAAAGAAAGGTGTGGTTTCCAAAGATCCACCCCTTGTAAACAAGGATGAGGTAGGACAGCTTAGACTTTTAGAAAGTGCATCTCTATTAATGAGGATATGGGCAGTGTATATAGCAAGTTCAGACTAGGTATCCGTCTCATACGGGCAATGTTGGATGAGCTGAGTCCCACCCTTAGCAGTGAAAAGCCAAGGCTCTGAACTAATATTTTCCTAATCCAAGACCTTCAGGAGGAAAGGAACAAGACAAAGATAAGCAATCTATAGTGGTAAAATAATTTTCTTCATGCCAGTTTTAAGAGCTTACAGTTTCACGCATTGCAAGAGTGAGCTACTGAGTAGCTGCTCACATCACACCATCAAACGTACTACCCCCTGTCAATCTTCAGTTATGCTTGCTCAGAGCAGTGATTTAGACTGGTATGTGGGAAATTACTGTAGCACATGGATGAATCTTGTTTCAATCAGTCAGCCTGCTTGAGTGATTTCCTGAAGCTGGGCCTTAATCTTCTTTTTAATTTGATGGAGTGATAAGGATACCTTTTATATCACAATCACGTGTACAGGCTTTTAAAGGAAGCTTTTGCTCACTGTTGTCAATACAATGAGTTATGTCTGCATGGGAAAGAAAAAAGATGTGCTAATACTTCGCAAAAGAGAATAGACCAGATTAATAGATTAATAGATAAGTGTGAAACAGATGCATATAAATACAAACAGTCATGAAATACTAGATTGTTCAGAAGACATAATCAACCAGAAACCACTCAGGCTAGGCATGTAAAAGGATCAAGAGATGTCAGTGTTTGCTATACAAACGGTACACCATGTGTGCTTCATGAGACAGAGCTGGTCCAGGGCGCAGAGGACCTACAGGCTCAACTTGAGCTAGGTGCAAAATATAAAAAAGAAGGGTGAGGGTTTGAGATATAGGACCCCACCAGGAGCCTCTCTAGAGTCAGCACTTCTGCCTCTTTCCTGGGAACTGCCACAGAAAGAGCCTGGTGGTGAGTGAGAGACCTGATCATCAAAAGCAACTGTAAGAAACATGAGAAAGATTCACTCTCCAAGGTTTAAGATTAAGCAGCTATGCTGCAAGGGAGACTTAGCCCAAAGTCACATGACAGGGAGTAGGTCTCTTTCACCTGTTTTCTACTTTAGCCTTACACACTTGAATGCCCCCCAAAAGAAAAACCCTGGGCCCTGTCCCATCAGAAAGCCTGCTCTTTTCTTTCTGTACACAGCCCTGCATTATCTTCACACCACTAGGTGAAGAGATGCCTCTGCGAGGTCAATTTACTCTGGCAGGGGGTGGGGAGCAATGGATCTCTATTCTTCTGTGTTCAAGCTCAAAGAGAAACTAAGAAGCTGTTGTGTGCACCAGCTCAGCCATGCACTCTACTGGAGAGTAAATAAGACCCCAGCCTTTAATCTGCACTGAAAAGAGATGGCATGCAGGGACCGCAACAGGCAATATGCTCAAACAACAATGCTGTTTGACTAATGCGCACTTGTAGACTAGTCCACACATTTGGAAATGCATTGATAGCACCTGACCTTCCTCAGTAGCAGTACCCAATCCTGCATGGCAACTACTGTTGCCATGAAATCCACGACCCCTGCTTGCAGCTTTTGTTGCCAGTGCACACAGAGGCATTCTCACCTAGGTAACTCTGCTAGTTAGGACTGTGGGTTTCAGCAGAGGCTCCTGAACATGAATTTGATCCATCATGAGGCTAAAAGTCTTCTGCATCTAGCGAAATGGACAAGGAAATGCTGCTTAACAGAAGTTCTGCTTCTGTTCCTGATCTTTTTTCATATAAAGAAAGATTGTATGACTGTGGAAAAGTATGTTACTCTTTGAATTTCAACAAAATCCACAATTTCAAGCAGACACACAAATTGTCTTGGCTTTCTCTTTAGAGTCATTTAAAAGGAAACTCCCAAGCCCACATAATTCTCCATGGCTGTTGTGTTTTCCCTAGTAGAAAAAGGGCTCTTCCCATCTGCCTCAGAAGCATGCCAGGACCTCACCACCTACAAATGTCCCAAGACAATGAATCACTGGACATACACGTGAAGAAACAAAACTGTTTGTTAGGAAACCTGATCTGGAGTGCTGACCTCCAAGAAGTGGTGGGAACTGCTACAGCACATGATTGTAATAGTGCAACCACAAAATGGCACAAATAATTCTAGCCTCAGGGGATATCAGAAAGCAGGATGTTTATCTCTGGCTGGGGTGGGAACGCTCAGGACTTCTGGTGCCAGAGACTCTATGGGTCACTGAAACAAATATTTTCAAGAATGCTTTAGAGATACAGAACTTACAATGATTTGGAAAATTCCTGGAAATGCCCATGGCAATGGTCATCTGGTATAATTTTTTTAGACTGCTTAAAAGTATTATACAGATAAATTCATATAACATGCTCCAGAAAGGTGAATATGACACCTGTAGGTGGCTGGATTAGAGTTATTGGCCTGTAACAAAGCCATGACATGAGGAGGTTTATTATGCTACCCATGAAAAAAAGAGAAAGTTCAGCAAAAATTATCACTTAACTGTGAGGCACAAAGGACAGTTCATCCCCCTCTATATGCCTTCCATGGCTGGGTTCTGGATTCCTTTCAGTAATCAAAGTATTCTCCATAGCAGTCTGTGAGCCCAATAAACCCATGGAGAAGTGTTCAAAACTGCCAGTGTTCCATGAAAGGATGCAAACACAAGCACAGGAGATTCCTGATGGCCTGGAGAACAGGGACATACGTGGCCCAAGTCAGTCCCACAGGTATCTGCAGTGGAAAACTGAAAGTTCAGTGTGGGGAAGATCCAGCCAATGATCTAGAGAATACAGAGTACTGTCTCAAACAATTTCACTGGATGGAAGCCAAACTGCAAAACAGACATCCTATTCCTCCTACAGGTCCAGATCACTTTAGGGTTCATCAGCCCATGAGGTGGACAAAGACATCATATTGACATCAGATGCCTGTATAAGACAAAGATACTGCTTTCAAATGTGAGCATGTGCACCCATGTGAGGTGAGCTCGCACTTCACTTCTCTCAGAATCAGAGGGAGGAAGTCCTGGGAAGTTACACTAGACAATCTAAACAACATATGAAAAACAAGGGTCATTGATAAAATAGCTAGCTTTCACAATTTTCCATCTAAGTTAAAACAGTTTCTGAAACAGGAAATGTGTAACACTAAATCTAATAAAACTCTTCTTGCTTCTAATAGTATTTCCAAGTCAGGAAAACCTCAGGTACTAGAACACAAACTA